TAATTGCCGCACAACACCGAGTGCCTCCTGCGAGATACTATGAAAAACACATCCTTAGTAAATATGTTGATACTATGTATGTAGAATGTGTAACGAGTATGACAAAACCATTCATCATATTGTTGCTGGGTGCCCAGTACCGACTTGCAAGAAGTGAATTCATAGAAAAAGACACGACAGACGTGGGACCTACATCCACTGGAAACTCTGTAAGCACTATGAATTTCAAGTTGCGAACAGTTAGGTTTTTTTTGTTTTTTACATGTCGAACAGTTAGTATGAACACCAACCAGAGCCGGTAAGTAATGGAAAGTGGTAATGGGATCTGCAAGACGACACCGGCAAACAAACCAATCATAGACAAATTGTTTCTTTGTTGATATGTAAATTTCATCAGAAAAGAATGTGAGCTTGAAACAAATTGGAAAACTGTTTAAGTATATGAGGATCTTGACATCGAAGTTGGTGAGAAAAACGCGGGGAATGGAAACGAAAGCTATACCGGGCATCGTTATTGGGACACTATGCCTCATAAATCAGTGCTTAGGTAGGAATGTCRAACAACTACCAGGAAACATAGAGTTTCCAAAAATGCACACAAAATAAAATCATTTTACATGCTGCTATAAAAATATTAGAGTTACAGAGCGATCCACTTTTGAGATTTGAATTTTAATCGGTTTTGTCATAATTTTGCAAGTCACAAAATGTCAAAAATAGTGCAAAAGTAGCGTGAATTTTCTCCAAATAAAATACTTTTTCTTGAAGCTTTTAATATGTTAGATTATTCCTATCTAGCAGCATGTAAAATGATTTCATTTTGTGTGCATTTTTGAAAAGAGATACAAAGCCTCAAATTTCATTCAAATTACGTAACCAGGAGGTGCCCAAAAACGTAATTTTTGCCCGAAACTTGACCCCCCCTTGAACTTAGCGAATTTGTGACGACATTCAAAATAAAATGCATTTTGATACTACAAGTAGAAAAGGCTTTCTGTACATAAAGTTTGAAAGAGATCTGAGACCCCATGCAATTTGGTCTGGTGATTCTTAGGGACACAGCCTATTAAAGTGGTTATTACTATTATCCTTTCCAAAAGTGGAAGTGATTGGTTCCACAGAACTACCCAACAGGAACTAATCATTCTACCAATGAAGTGAGACCATTTTAGAGATATTATTATTTTCGCAAATAATAATAATAAATGATGTATAATTTATAAAGCGCTCAAGTTATTAAAATATTCTAAAGCGCTTTACATCCATGAGTAGAAAATAAAGAAAACAAAATCCTGTTATGGAAATGATATAGAATGAAAAAAGCTATTCATGCATTAAGAAAGAAAAAAATTACTCGATATCAAATGGAAAAAATTTACATAAATGTAATGATTTTTAAAGATGATGGCTAGCGAACACTAGCGTGGACTGCGTCGGTGTTTCTAATGACACGAGTTATCGTAGAATTATAAGTTTAACACCGTAGTGAAAATAGAAACTGGAAATAGAAACTGACGTTTCGGATGTTAATACTTCGTCGGAGTCAATGATTTTTATTATCATTGCTTCACTGACTCGGCGTTTAGGAATAAATTTTTTAGAAAAATTTTTAGTTGGCAACATTCTGATGATCGACTTGTGCCATATGAAGTTCCACCCGTACAATAGTACGTGCAGTACTTTGGTTCACTCATACTAAAAACCCGGCTATTATGAAATAATAATGTTTTTAAATTTTCTAAAACAATACTGTGACAATGAGCTTTTGAATTCGCGTTTGATTGAAAGAAATCAGTGGATTTCCCTCAGCCAACTGCTAACCAATCCGCAAACACTAGCATAAAAAATCATTCCTAGATGTTTGTTCTCCCAATGCGGTTGCCAATAGGTTCTTGCGGTAAACAAGGGAAAAAAACTTTTGTTTTTGGAAAGAAGTTTCTGGGACTAATAGACATTTTCGTTCCGTATCATTAAATTTATAACGCCAAGTAAGTCTAGCAGATATTTTTTTGTGATAAACACTAGACCATGAAAACTTAAAAGTTAAAACTTAAAAGTTTTACATATCATCTGCTTATTGAAAGAACTTTGGAGTAACGAAGACCTCTGGTCCCGACGAGACAGGCAGGTGATTTACAGTTTTTAGCTCACATTTTTCGTTGTCGAATCATAAAAACTCGAAAGAAACATACGTAGCCTTGCCATGGATTGCTTACTGATTCAAGAAAATTCTCTCGTCAATTGAATCGAAGCGACAAGTTTGTTACTAAAAATCAGAAATAAAATTTGAGTTCTCAACGTAACGTCACTGTGTACGTTATATCTAATACTGTACACCATCAGGTTCAAAATTTATGAAAGTTATTGTGGAACCAAACTAATTCAGAGCGAATTTTGGACAATTTTATTCTCGCTCGCTTCGCAAAACAAATATGTCAATTTAACTGTATTTTTCATGTAATGTACTTGGATTATCCTAGATTCTAACAGATTTAAATGTTTAGTCTATTACGGCCAAAAATCAAACCTACAGTGATATTTTTAGTTTTTGGCTTTTTTTCTCCTCATCCTCAGGTACGATTTTTCTGAAATTTTCAGAATCTTCTGCGCGATGTTTCATATGCTAAAATTTTGGATCGAATTTTTAAGCGGCGTTATAATTTTTTTTTGGCCAAGGCTTTCCAAAGTTCCTGTGTATGGATGAGAATATGTGTGTTGAGGCCGTTTAGTGTTTTTTTCTCAAAACCCGCTCTTCTCTACCTGAATAATTTTGAAAAAAAAAATAGACGGCCTCAAATCGCGCTGAAACTTCGCCAGAAGTCTGAATAAAGTTAAATTAACAACTGCAGYAAATTTTGAGGCATATTGTTGAGTGAAACATTTTATTTTCGTAACTTTATCATAACTCCTATACATTCGCTTATAAACCATACACACATATTCTCATCCATACACAGGAACCTTGTTTGGGCTGCCTGTGGGTACTAATGCTGTTCTATCACGTGTTTTACAAGAAAGCGAGATGGCCGCCATGGCGGCGCTTGGATCGCAACTCGCCCATAATTCTACAACCAAATGTTCTACAGTCTT